AATTAGCTCAATCTGTACAAAAAGTTTGAAGAAGAAAATTGGAGTCGCTATTGAGAAAATGTCATTTGCGCGTTTACAAAAATGCACAAAATTTGAGATCATTTCCAAAGAAACGTTTTTAAAATTTCCTCAAGAAAATCCATTGAAGCACTTGTGCTCAGAAATAATAATTTATAAAATAAAGCTTATAACGTAAATATTATCCCAAAAAATAACATGGCGCCGTTTCTTAGAATATCTTCTTTTTATTTTTAATATTGCCGGTATTTTACGCAAAATTACGCGATCACTAGTAATATTTTCTTGAAAAGTATATGACATTATTTAAAGAATCAAGTGTTAAAAACACATTTTATTTGAATAAAAATCATTGGATTTTTCAAATATTGATGGTATGAGGGGATTCGATAAATTTCGAACTTTCACAACTTACTAAAATTGAGAGTTATTACTGGGAATTTGACCTATAATATAGTATTTAACATCTAACTTTATTCGCACAAGAAATATAAAGATAAAAGTTGGAGATTATTTTAGGAAAATTTGAAAATGAGTGTACATTTGAAATTCATTCATTTTTTCAATACCGCGGGGCTCTATGTGGGGCCAGTTATTCCAGTAAATTTCTTTATACTACGAATATTCGTAGTCTCTATTCTATATATTTGTATGTATACGAGGAAGTAAAAAGCAAATTCGGGTATATTGTACACTAATGTCATTTTAATTCGACGCAGCAACGCAAGCGCAATTCCAAGTCCCCAAGCGGGTAAACCGAGTTTCGCCGCCTCCCGAGTCACACCCCCCACGGCCCTCACCCTCCTCCCGAGGCATCCGCGCAGCGGGGCGTTCTCATAACTCCTTGGCCGCGCACCCCGCCCCGCCCCGCCCCACCCACCCGCTGCTGCGCCGTGTGGCAGAGGCGGAGGCGGCATTTCGCATCGATTCCCGCGCGCAGATAAACCGCGCGAAACGGAGCGCCAGCGCCGGCGGCCCGGGGGCGGCGGCTGCGCGCGGTGCGCGGGGAGGCAGGGGAGACAGAGGAAGGAAGAGGAACACAAGATGTAGAATTCGATGAAGAGAAGGAAGAGCAAGAGATGGGACAGCAAGAAAAGGAGAAAGAAGGAAGAGGTGAAGGAGACCAGGAATTAAGGACAGAGAGCAGGCAAGCACCGGCAGCAGATTGAAGAGAAACAGAACATCTGTTAAGTCGAAAGGAGGAAAAGAAGAAAATGAAAGGAGGAAGAGAAGAACGAAGGTACATAATGAATAAGATGAAGTGGACAAGCAGGGGAAAAGAGCAGCAAAGGGAGACGAAGGTGAACTGTGAGAAGGTCGAGAAAACTGGACAAGTTCAGAAAGAGCCAATGAACAGTAAACAATATTTTATTGAGTCATTTTTCCAAAAAATTACAAAAGATGCTTCGGGGCACGTAGAACTTAAACCTTATGTTAGTGTCTCTATGGACGAAACATGAGTTAAAGTTATAAAACCTTTTAGTATCCAAAACATTCATTTTAATACGCGGACATACTTATCTTTTGATACTTGGCTATGTCGAAACATCAGCTCGACCGACATCGACGAGGCTCGTCGAGGACAGCCGAATATCAATTGACTGGCTGCGGAAGCCTACGAATCCATCCCTATCTTTTTAAAGGCTGCTTTTTAACAAGTTAGTCGTACAACATCCCATGTGCTTGTTTTAACTGTAGGAGGAACTGCAGGGAAAACATGTATGGACAACACGAACACAAACACATGTCAATTTGAACCCGTGACGCTTCGAGTCGAAGCAACTACGTCCCTTTAGCCTTACCGATTTCGGCTATCCAGGCTTTGTCTATCTTTTCACAGCGGAAAAAACAAGACGGCATTATACGAGGTAGAGTAAAGAGTTGTCACAATCATACATACTATTCATTTCAATATCGAAATGAATCATTTCATAACTATAAGAGAACAAAAAGTCTTGCTATGTTGCGCATTCTCATTAGTTACATTGATGATAATTTATTGAACTTTTATTTTAAGCATACTAAGTATGCTAAATTTAGCATTGAAATATGAGAAACCTCGAAATACAAGTAATCTTATTGTTCCCTGCCATTAGCGTGTGAGTAGAAAATGAAATAACAATCCACAATGAAGTAAATATTACAGTGTTTCTTCAACGGCACGAAGAAATGTTTCATAAATTATTTCTCCATTAGCAATTTTTCTCAATTGAGAAAATTACAACTAAATACTACGAGTACTGAAGATTACAAAAGGTTCATTGAAACAATTCCGAGTATCCTTCGAAGAAACAACACATTACAACATTGTTGAATATTTCTTTATATATTTTCTTCCTTCACCACGAAATTCCAAATATTTCTTCAGAAACAACCGTAATTACTTAGAACCCTCCGACGTCTGCACTACCTCCTTCACATCCATCTTGTACGCGTTCAGCTCCGCCTCCCGAGAGCTCCGACGCGGAATATCTGCGCGCGATAACCCCTTCCGCGGCGCGGGGCGGGAGTTCCTCGGCGTGCCGCAGGGCGCGCTGGCGGAGAGCAGATTTAGAGGGCGCTGAAAGCCGCCGCGTGCGGTGCGCCACGCGCTCCGCGGCGCGTAATATCTCTGCCGTGTGCCACGGCAGCGAGCAGGGGGGCGGGGAGGCAGGCGGG